GAGAGGACATCTGCGTCTCGATCAGAAAGAGCAGAGCCAGCCTCGCCGTCTCGAGATGGTAGTGAACGGCGTTTAGGTTAGAGTGAAGTCCCCTGATTGCAGAAATTCACGGGTAGCGTGGCAGGGGTCGCCTTGGTCTTGTTGCTCCGTTTGCTCCGAGCAGTTGTAGTCTTGAGCGGAATTTTCCCAATAATCCCTGTCAATTTACACACAGTTTACTGCACACAACACAATTGCTTTCTACCGAGAGGCCAGGGCTCTCGCAGGGTTTGTATTTATTTACGTACGTTGCGTGTTTTTTTAAAGGTTAAACTTCTTTAGAATCATTGTGATTGGAAACTCGATGAAACGAAAAAGCAACACTAAAAGAGAAACATATACATCTATAGGATTCAGCCAGTGAGAGAAAGAGATCGAATACAGTATGCAGTGTTCACTTATTAATATCCTACTATTATCCTTTTTTGCCATAGATAGTTTTGCCATTGTCACCACGCTTGACAGGCGGGTAATAACTGCAGTTTCTTTTTTTTTGAAGATTCTGCTGCTCATCTCCTGTTTCAGTTTCCCTTTGTGGCCTCTTGCGAAACTCACGGAACTAGATGGGGTAGCGAATATTCTAAGAATTCCACTGTGTACTAAAATGCGTAAATTTAAATAATCTGAGAAATAGATATAATAGGATAATAACTAGCCATTTATGATGATGATGGATTTAAAAAATCAGTCATTTATTAGTTTAGATTTTTATTATGTTAAATATAGTATCAATACCATGAAACTTCTCCATTATTTAAAGAAAAACAACGAAAATACGTGGTAGAGCCATACCGCATCTACAGGATATTTTTGAAACGCCCCCGATAACGAAGACAGACGATAGTATTGAGGATACCTTTATTGATGAGTTGATGCGACAAAAAGACAATCGTTCCCAATGAAAGAAAAATATCTTTTTTTTTTACAACGTTTAATTACCTTTATTCACGCTCTATCATGTTAGTACAGCTAAACGAAACGATTTTTTAATTTCCTAAAAAAATCATGAAAATACCTAACCATAAAACCAGCAGTGAAAGTTAAATACCTGAAATCAGCTGATAAAGGGTCAATAAACGCGCGGAAGCTGAACTCTTTTTATTGAGCTCGGTACGAAGAAATACATTAGGTATTACTATATTTACGCTCACTCTACCCTTCCCTTTCACACACGTGTTGCCAAACCGATATTTACTACTAAAATTTGCAGGAAAAATTAGAATTAGAGGCGACAATCACAATAAAACTTGTAATTATTTTAATGGTTATAGCTTACCTCTTTTTAAATTCAAAGTATTGGACGGATTAAAAAATGGACAGTCAATTAAAATAAAGTAAAAGAATTATTTTTTAGAGTAAATGTGATAGATTAGTTAACTATCGATCATAATTGCAATTGATTTTAACTATTAAATTATTCAGTACCATTTCATTTCTATTTTCTTGTACAAAATCAAGGATAACGATGAAATTTTGTTTATAATTGTGTGAGTATCCAATTAGGTACCTTTATTAATTTGAATATCATTTTTGTAATAATAATAATAATAATAATGTCCTCCAGACCGAATTTTGATCACGGCGGCCAGCCTCAACGGAGACTAGTCATCGGCGCAGAACAGGATTAGTCATTGAGGTTGTAGAACAGAAGAACGATCGCCGTAGAAAATAGTGTCTCAGAAGTGTCCCAGAGGTGCTGCGATCGCTAAGTTCGCTCAATAAAAGTCATTTTCAGTCTATTTTTCCGATCAGATGCTAAACAACTTGCACATCCACGCTCAATAAAATATTTCTCTATTTTGTAATGTTGCTTTTTGTCAAAAATTAAAATATTACCTTTTTAATTTTTGACAAAATTCATATTATCTCCTTTCCTATTTTATGTATAAGTTTTCAGATTAGAAATGTAAAGGATTTCTAAAAAATATATTAAACAGGGTTTTTTTATAGGTACATATTTTTTGTTGAATATCATCAAGGCCTATTCATATTCCACTTTTGGTACGCCTGATCTTACTTTAAGCCAGATGGGTTGGTGAGGCATAGGGATTCGAGTTTTCGGTCTTTTGTAATAATTCTGTTCGCGTAGCTCAGCCCTTTACTCGTACTTTAAAACACCTGCAGGTTTGAATGGGGTGAAGACATAAAGAATATACGAATATTAACGAAAATTAGAAAATAATTCGCGTAAGTGGATGCTATGGCTCATAAACATAATTTATCCCTTATTATCAAAAGCAGATGCATTGTCAGTCCTGAGGACTAAGATGGAATACCTTATTTGCAGTGAAAAGCGTCTCCGGTTCTCTACATTCACCATACGAAACCTACCCCGGTTGAGCCAACCCATTCGTGTTACAAACGTAACATAGCTGTAGCATGACTACCATACTGACGTTACTGTAATCAGTCACCCGACGGTACAACTAGAGTTGGCAACAACTATATTTGTATTATACATATACCTAGTTGTTGCCGTGTAAAGTACATTTATGGTAACATCTACAGGAAAAAGTTTATATAAAATAAAGACGTACCATTTTTTTATTCAAGTACAATTAAAAATAATTAATACTAAATAATTTTATTGTAAAATTGTCGAATGCTGTCTTTATTTACATTTTTCAATTTGTGTTCATACCAATCATTTCAAAAGGAAGGATAGGCCCACCTAAATATTTTACTCACAACTTTTTCATACAAGAAAAAGTAGCGCATCTTTCATAATACAAACGTCATATCAAAACACGACGTCGTCAAACCAGGGTCGGGTTTCGTAGTATAATTACCCTAATAGTTCCTTTATTTCATAGTTTGTAGGACGTAGTATCGTAATAATACTAAGCGAAAATACTAATATAATTTTACCTATAGGACGACTTGTATTATTATTGGGTCCTTTTACATTTTAATATTAACCCTACGATATCGAAAATTTTTGTATTGTACATGAGTAACGTGTTTTTATTAGAACTAGTTCATAGGTTAGTATTAGAATTAGCTCCCTTTCTGGTCAATCGATGCTCAATCGATTCATTTATGTTGCATCTTTGATACAACTATAATGACGGGCTACCACGATAAAAACTATATGCTCCAGAAGCAATCGGTTTGAAAACATCAAAATTTCAAAATATTTTATGAATCAGATTTTCGGATTCAATTAAGCAGATATGGTTTCTTTTGTATTCTTTTCGTTTTACCCTTATTGAATATAAAATATATTAGGTACCAATATTCAAAATGTAACTTACACTAAGTTCTTTAGACAAAAATTATTATAATGTTATTTACCGATGATACGATATCCCATGTTTTGTTTTAAAACTTTGTATCGTAATTTTTGCATTATTTTACCACGCAACTAGACATATTTATGACAGGCAAATCTGTCGCACTACTGTCGACCGATTCGCGTTGGCCAGAAACTGTAATTTTAGGGCCAGCGCACTGGTCCGTTTTAGTTGCTCGGTCGGCCCGGTCCAAATCAGTCAACTGACTTTTCATGTTTATTTTTCCCATGCGCCGGGATTTTGGCGTCACGCGTCCAGTTTTCGTTTATGTTTCGTTTTGTGATGGTTTTATTTTTATTTCTGTTTAATTTTTGTCTAAAGAACTTAGTGTAAGTTAAATTTTCAATATTCGTACCTAATATATTTTATATTCAATAAGGGTAAAACGAAACGAGTACAAAAGAAACCATATCTGCTTAAATGAATCTGAAAATCTGATACATAAAATATTTTGAAATTCTGTTTTCAAACCGATTGCTTCCGGAGCATAGAGTTTTTATCGTGGTAGCCCGTCATTATAGTTGTATCAAGGATGCAACATAAATGCATCGATAGAGCATCGATTGACGAGAAAGGGAGCTAATTCTAATACAAACCTACGAACTAATTCCAATAAAACGCGGTACTCATGTACAATACAGAAATTCTCGATATCGTAGGGTTAATATTAAAATGTAAAAGGACTCAATAATAATACAAGTCGACCTTTAGGTAAAATTATGGTATTTTCGCTTAGTATTATTACGATACTATGTACTACAAACTATGAAGTAATGGTACAATTAGGATAATTATACTACGTAATCCAACCCTGGTTACGTCGTGTTTTGATATGACGTTTGTATTGTTATGAGTAAAATATTTAGATGGGTTAATCCTTCCTTTTGAAATCATTGGTTTTGAATTAATTACGACAAATAATTGTTATGAGTGCATTTAATGCATTAACTAAAATGTTATGTTTATATAATATTCAAATCTATGATTTTAATAAGTCGGAACCATCAGAAGAAAACAAAAATCATGTTTAAAATAGTAAAAAAATATTTATAAAGAATAATACAAAGCATTGTTCTTATTTTTTAGTGGTATTGACTTAACCTTTAGGGTAAATATGTTTTGGAGCTGGCAACACTTATTAATCTGTGGTTTCGTCTTTCGTAGAATAGATACCAGTAATCTATGAATAGATTGGAATAGATGGAATAGATACTTATTATGAATACGATAGTACATACATTACATTTATTAAAATTTATTTTAAAGTATTGTTATACCGTATGTACACTTTAAATTTATTTTTGAGTTAGTGTAGAGCATAGTTACGTTTTTGTTGAAAGTTTAGGAAGTTTTGTGCTAGTAACAATTGTAAAAGGTGAATTATTAGCGTCTTGCTCTTGTATTATAATAAATTAAACTTATTACATTATTATAACAAGCACTAAATTAATGACTCATTAAAATGACTGACACACGTTATTTATATATTTTATCATTTACTTTTTGTTGGTACAGTTATTGATTTCTTAATAATTTGGTGGTAAATAATTTCCAAATATATCTAATCGTATGATAAAATTTAGTTTAAACTATTATCGTTGTTTGTCTCAGGTTTTAACATGAGAGTTACAACTAAAGTTATGGAGTTATTATTTTTATTGTTTCAGAATGTTTAGAGGAAGAGTGCAACATTTAATGCATTGCATGTTTTTCTTGACATTCATATTTATTTTCTTAGTATTTGCGGGTGCTATAAGTTTAGATGATAAGGAGAAGAGAATTATTGATCCTTGGGAAACTTATGGAATTTATGGAACAATTACTCTATATATTCTTAGGCTTCTTACCTTTCTAACAATTCCACAAGTTCTATGCAACTTTGCAGGATTAACATTATTCAATGCTTTCCCTGGAAAGGTAAAATTAAAAGGATCACCATTATTAGCCCCTTTTATTTGTATCAGAGTTGTTACAAGAGGCGATTTCCCCAAACTAGTGCGAGATAATGTCACAAGGAACATGAACACTTGCCTTGATGTTGGGATGGAAAATTTTATGATTGAAGTTGTAACAGATAAAGCTATTAACTTGCCAAAGCATAGGAGAGTCAGAGAAGTTGTTGTTCCACCTGAATATAAGACCAAATCTGGTGCTTTGTTCAAGTCCCGTGCATTGCAATTCTGCTTAGAAGATGAAGTTAATATTCTGGCTGACACAGATTGGATTGTTCACTTAGATGAGGAAACATTGTTGACTGCGAATTCAGTTCGTGGAATATTGAATTTTGTATTTGATGGCCAACACCAATTTGGCCAAGGCCTTATTACTTATGCTAATGAACATATTGTTAATTGGCTAACTACCCTGGCAGATAGTTTCAGAGTTGCAGATGATATGGGCAAGTTAAGATTTCAATTTTATTTTTTTCACAAACCACTTTTTAGTTGGAAAGGTTCTTATGTGGTGACACAGGTTTGTACGATTGTACAATGACAACTTAACAATATTATGTATGACTATAATAAACGAACAAAAATTATTATGCTTTTCCAGGTTTCTGCAGAAAAGAAAGTATCTTTTGACAATGGACTAGATGGATCTGTTGCTGAAGATTGTTATTTTGCAATGAAAGCCTATGTCGAAGGTTATACGTTTAATTTTATTGAAGGAGAGATGTGGGAAAAATCCCCTTTTACTTTATGGGATTTCATGCAGCAACGAAAGCGCTGGATTCAAGGTATACTCTTAGTAGTGCATAGCAAAGAAATTCCTTTAGTTAATAAGATTTTACTTGCACTATCCTGTTATTCTTGGGTTACACTGCCATTATCAACTAGCAACATTCTTTTAGCCACCCTATGCCCAATTCCATGTCCACAAATTCTTGATCTCATTTGTGGTTTCATAGGGGCTGTGAATATTTACATGTACATTTTTGGTGTCATCAAGTCTTTCCCACTTTATAGATTTGGACCTATAAAGTTCTTAATGTTTATATGTGGAGCTTTAGCTACTATTCCATTTAATATTATTATTGAAAATGTAGCTGTAATTTGGGGTGTTTTAGGTAAAAAGCACAAATTTTATATAGTAAATAAAGAAGTCAAGATACCTGTAACAGTATAGCTTTTATATTGTATAATTTAAAAACAAATTAGTCATTAGTTAAGTGCACAAATTACTTAATAACTATAATAGAAGAAAAATGGTGTATGGTTTGCATGATAATGAGAAATTTATGCTTTTTGTTCTGTTAAAGTTGTGTTTATAAAGTGAATACAATTATAGTATTGTTTTAACCAAAGAGATTAACACTAAAGGTGTGAGCAGTGATTCATATGATAAAGAGATATGAGTTAAACTAATGTGTGTCATTCATTCCACATTTAGTAGTGAATTTACAAATCCTGAAAATGTGTAAATTATAAGTAGCTTATGACAGCTTATTAAGTAACAAGCACAAATACATATAAATTGATTACTATTTTCTTAATTTAAAAAGTTATTTATTTTTTTATAATTTTGTACTATGAAGAAATTCTTTTGTAAGTTGTATAGTTTTAAATTAAAACAATTAGACAGTCAAATTGCAATAAATTTATAATATTTTATATTTGTCGTGGTTGAAATTTTAAATAAAATCATTTATTTTCAGTAACTGTGTACCTATATTACTAAATAATATTTACAAAAAGTTTAGTAAAAAAATACATAATTAAATTGCCCACACATGCATTTTAATTATGTCTCAAACTTAAGTTTTCGTATGTCTTGATTGCTAAACAAAATGTAGAAATGTTCATTTTTGTAATGCGGTAATGTAGGTTAACGTAATAAAACTAAATTAAAAACAGCTTTAAAAATTTTGACATTTATATGTGTGTTGTGTCTCATTTTGCATATTTTTGATTTTGATACAAACTGGTTATTATTACTTTATACAATATTTTAAAAACAACCTCTCTAAGGGCTGACATTACAAATAAAATTAAAATATATTGAATCAAAAATGTTAGTTATTTAAAGTACTTACATGTTTTTTTACAGCAAATTTATAAAAACTGGCAACAAAGTGTAGTCTAAAGTGTGGTATGTGGCAAATTGAGTAAACTTACAATACCGCCGTATTGGAAGTGTACTCAATTTATTAAAAAAAATTTGGGGCACTGTTTTTAATTTTTCTTTAAATAAGATTTTTTGTCTAAATAGGATTACACATTAACAAAAATTTACTGATCCGATTGGTACCGATCTTTATCTTTAATGTCAATTTAATATTATATACATAATGTTTACTGCTGTGGAAATAATTTTGAATATGTTATTGTTCTAATTTTTGCCATATTAAGCCATAATACTATTTTTATGTAGACAACATATTTGCACAGGCACAATATATTTCAAATGTCTACAAAGTAAATTTTTAGTGTGATATGTCTGTATATTATAATGTCATGTGGTAAATATTTACATAAGTGAAGTATTCAACTTTTTAACTGTGTTTAATTAAAATTATGTAAGGTAAATATACTTACTGATCTATTTTCTCACTACAAATAAGCTGTAAAGACTAATTAACAAAACTAAAACTAACAATTATTGTAATTTGCGGTGGACTGAAGCCTTCACCAGAGTATACCTATAATATGAAGTATTTCAGGACTTTAACTATCTTGGTTCCTTGAGTTAGTGACTTATTTGTGGAATATACATTTAGATTGTATTTAGGATAAATACTATAGTTTTATATTTTGTTTCATGCTCGTCAATCTTCTAAATTTTATGGAAAATATTCAGTTTATTTTCTTTTTTCTTCTATTAAGAATAATATTCTCTTTACATTTAGTCATTATGCAACAGTGCAGAAATTTCAATTCCTTATTATTAATTAGATCGGTGTTGTCACCAGTGTGTATGTATTCCAGTCGGTTTTATTAACCTGGCGTGAATGAGGTGAGAAATTGTTACACCAGCTATGAGGCGGGTAGGAGATACCCAAAATTTTGATGTTCAATTTTTTATACTATAATTATGTAATTAGCATTTATGCTCAAGATATATTAATAATAGTACTCATTCAGCAAGATTAGTAAATAAAATACAAGCATTAAGTACAAAAAGCGTTATTTTTTATTGAAATTAAAAAGTATCTAAATTTTCTTTAAAAAATTACAAGTTAAGGTAGTTAACTTCTTTTCGCATCAAAATCTAAAAAAAATCCCACTTCTTTAGTCAATCAACATAACAATAGAGTCTTCAAGTTATTATAAATAAAAAAGGCACTGAAAAGTCTTGTGAGATCATGTAACAGAGCACCAAAGTTACACCTACAAATCAGTACAATTTCCGCACATAAAAATCGCGTGTTCCATACATATTGGCTTCTCACATTTTGTACAGCAATGTTTTGTTTTTCTGTCTTTTTTCTGAGTACACTCACCACATCTTACATATTTACCAGCCATTTGTTTTGGAAATGGTGGTGAGGGTTCCCCTAAATGATCGGCAACCCTCTTTCGTGTTTCCCTTGGAAGATGTACGTTCTGTTGCCTGTTCCAAAGACTATCATTTATTAGATTCAAACCTAAATTACGAATGTAGTCTCGGCGCTTCATGCGTGTTTTGTCAGTCGTGTTATTTTCTCTGTAGATTACGATACCATTTATGGCAGCCATATTGAGTATACCATAAAAAATCGTCATGGGCTAACGTTTGCTATTGCGTGAAACATCATAAGTGGCACTCAGTTCATCTGCGACATCGACTACGGCTTTAGTTTTATTATAATAAGTAATCATTTCCGGTTTTCTTTTATCCCCTGTCGATTCGTCTATATTTTTGTCATGGTGTAAAGTTGACATAACCAGCACAACTTTATTTTTGTTAGGTACATAGGACACCAAAGTAATATCGTTTTGGAACCCGAATCGAGAGCTATTGACTTCTGTTCCCTTTTTGAAGATCTCAGGTACACTTGTCTTGTTTTTACGGACTGTGCCGACAGAAGTTAATGAATGGTCTTTCAAGAGATGAATCATAGTGGATAACTAGTAAATCAGTTATCGAATGTCAAGTTCCTGTTCGTTTTTGTTATTGGCTCCACTAAACGGCTCACAATGTCAAACGCTTTGTTACTCAATTGGTAAGGTCCTGGTGGTTGTTTTCCTGCGTATCTTTCCAGTTTGAGAATGTAAAACTTCTCCGCATCTACAAGAGCTTGAATTTTTATCCCATATTTGGCTGGTTTGTTGGGAATGTATACGCGGAAAGGACATCGCCCTCGGAAAGATAACAACATCTCATCAATAGTAAGATTCTCGGAAGGCACATAATGTTTTTGAATATTTACAACAAAATTTTCAAAAATGTCCCTTATTGCAGCTAGTTTATTGTCACTCTTTTTTCTTTGGTCCCGAGTGTTTTTATCATCGAATCTTAAACAATTTTGAAGGAAGTAAAACCTCTGCAGTGACATTGTAGTCCGAAAGATTTCAACTCCTGTACCATCTGTACGCCACAAATCGTTCAGGTTTTGTCTATTTGAGCGATTTAGGCCAGCTATATACAAAAGTCCTATAAATGCCTTCAAATCCTCCAAAGTTACATCTTTCATGTGATACTGCTCATTATTTTTGAATGTTTTCCCTTTTATCCTTTATTTGAATATTTGTGCATGTTAGTACGGTATTCAACATACTGTCTGTTATGGAGACTCCCAAGATTCAATCTCAGTTTTAGCAAGTTTTGCAGTACCTTTTACGCCTGTAGCATTAGTAATTATATTCTCAGATCGAACTCGAACGCTTTGTCTAGGACAATCTTTTGACCATTTTGTACCTCAGCCGACTGACTATTAGACGCCGGCACAGATTCCGGCTCTTCCAAATTATCCAAATTACCCTCTTGTTCGGAATCACTTTCTTCACTTCTCTGAGAAACGTTATCAATTTCTTCTTCGCTCTCGGAGTCACAGGAGCTAGCACTTGAGCAGTTTTCTAATAGTTCTTGTAGCCGACGTTCATTTCCTTCATAAGACATCTTGAAAAATCTAAAAATAAATCATAAAATACTATAAATAACTATAAATCAAAAACTGTCAACACAAAAATGTAACACCGACAACGAGGTCGGGTGTGACGTACCCCAGCCACGTGTACACATGTGTATCTACCGTCGCCGCCGGCGCAACACTAAACTCGATACTGTACCCCGCCTCTCGCATCCTTACCTCCAGCTACTGAAACGACAGGACTCGCATGGCAACAGTAACATTAAATAATCTGCGTTTAAAAACTTCTCGGGTATCACATACCCGACCTCACTCACGCCGGGTTAAAGAACCATATATAATTGAACAACGAAAGTGTTATACTCATGGAGGTACATAGATAGTCCAATTGAATTAAAAATCTTTTAAATTTAAATCATTCCACTACCAAATTTTGAAATTCTTAACAAAAAACCTAAATGCTTAGATGATCTAAAATAATGAAACACCTTTTTGAAATATGTAATACTTATAATGGAAGTTCATATGAGTTTAGCGTTTTAGGAAAATGCACAACTTCTTGCCACGCTCGTTCGCTCGCGCGCGGTCTTTAATTCTTTATCAGCCTATAAATGTTTATAGCTAGATAATGATCACATGCGCCTAAAATCATGTTGTCAGTTGCAAATGATTTTAAATGGATTAATGTCTATGACTGTGTGTTATTACAATATTATGTTGAGCATGATTTCGGCTTTACCTGGATGATTATTGTACAGTGTTCTATCTTTCTTTGTTAGTTTGAGATGTTAACTATAAAATCTTTAGTTGTAAGTACGTATTAATGTTATCTTTATTTTGGCAAAAATTGCTGTATTAAATTGAGATTTCGTTACACGTCTAATATTATCTACAAAATTTCTTAAATATAATCTTAATATATATAAATTACGTGTCACGTTGTTTGTCCGCGATAGACTCCTAAGCTACTTAACCGATTTTAATCAAATTTGCACACCGTGTGCATTTTGGTCCAACTTGAGAGATATGATAGTTTTTTTGCCCGTGAGTGACCCACAATTTTTTTTTTTGCGAATTTAAGGATTTTTAATAGGACATGACAAAGGTTCGTCGAAAAGGGCAAAATAACGTCTGCCTGGCAAGCTAGTTCTTAGTATATTTTACTGAAGAATAAGTATTTGAATCTCAACTAACAACCTTATGAATCTACATAGTCGCCATTATTCTTGATAACGTCTAACATTTCTAATCAAGAAATTAATATTGTTTATATGAGTATTTATATAATTGTTTGAAGTTTGCCGAAAACCGTTTTTAATGAAAGAAAGGACGATAAGTCGGTACGAGATCGAGAGAATATAGAGGTTTTTTTTTTATAGGGCCAAACGAGCATACGGCTCACATGTTGGTGATAAGCACCGCCCATGAATACCTGCAACACCAGGGGAACTGCAGATGCGTTACCGGCCTCTTAAAAAGGAGTAGGCTCTTTTCTTGAAGGTCCCTAAGTCGTATGGTTTCAGAAAAATCTCTGGTGGTATAATATTCCACAAGGAAGTTGTGCGAGGAAGAAAATTTCTTTTAAATCGCACAGTGGTGGACCGCCAGTCATCCAGATGGTATGAATATTATCGCGAGTTTTGTCGCGATGTGCGATGGTGAAATTGTGCGGCTAGAATTAGTTCGAACAATTCCTCAGAGCACTCCCCGTGGTAAATGCGATAAAATATGCAAAGAGATGCAACATCTCTTCGCAGTGAGTCAAGCCGATCAAAGATGCGATTCAATGGAAGGAGCTGGCACTGAAGAGCCCCAGCCCAGAGATTTGAACAGTATTCCATGTGCGGTCGAACCTGCACCTTGTAAAATTGCAGGCGGTGTGCCGGCGTAAAATACTGTCCCGCTCTGCTGAGCACGCTAAGCTTTTTAGAGGCTAATTTGGCCTTCTCTTCCAATTGACCACGAAACTGCACGTCACTCGATATGTCGACGCCGAGGATACCTATACTGCCTGAGGCAAGAGGAATGCTTTGAAACTGAGGAGATACGACGAGGGCTTCTTTTTAGCGGTAAACGCGCAAATTGTGTCTTCTGGGGGTTGAACTGGACTAGCCCCCAGTCTGAGACTTTGTTCAACAAAGTATCGACTTTAGATAAAAGTTAGTCCCGGTACTCAGCAACGTTTTCCCGAGAAATATTGGCACGGCCGGTGCATAAAGCATCACCAGTGCTGTCGCCCGCATAGCAATGAATGTTACCGTTTAACAACATGCCATTGATATGCAGAAGAAACAGCGTTGGTGATAGATACTAGTCATCCAATTACATGATTTCTCGGGAAGCCCATAGGAAGGATGCTTCGTAAGAGCGCTTTGTGCCATACCCGATTGAAGACCTTCGCTATGTCCAACGACCGACGCCTCCCCCTTGTGACTCTACTGGCTCCGTCCATTATGAGTTACATAGGTAACCCAGAAAATCACTAGCCGAGCGACCGCGACGGAAGCCATACTGGCGGTCGCTAATTAGCTGGTAATCCTCCAGGTACTGCATGAGCTGGCTGTTAATAATGGATTCCATTATTTTAGAGAACAAGGAGTGCACGAAAGCTGTCTTCCATGATTTCGGGACTACGCCTAAAGAGTAGGAGTACCGTAAAAGACGCGTTAGAACCGCTGCCAACTCCGGAACACACGTCTTCAGCATAATAGAAGGGACGCCATCAGGCCCACTCGACTTGTTGACATCCAGGGAGAGGAATGCTCTGCGCACCGAGCGTTGGGTAAATAGCACATCCTGCATGGAGCACTCACACCGCGGGATAGTCGGCGGTGTGTTCCCCCTGTCATCAAGAGTCTAGTTGGACGCAAAGAGAGAGCCCAGCAGATTGGATTTGTCCTTTGCGGCATGGGCCAGTGAGTCGTCCTCACTCGAAGTCGAAGTTCTCTTGGACAGCCTTCGCGAGAGACCAGAATGCACGTGTTCCCGAAGAAAATTTAACTAGTTTCTCGCCAATTATGCCGATGTGCTCCGACTGCCTTGGCAATGACACTTGAAGGACTTGGAGGCGAAATTATACTTCTTTCATAGCGCTGATATTTGCATCCCGAGACTTCGAGGCATGCGCCCAGGCCTGATAGCACTCTTGCTTATGGCGTAGTTCAATTTTGCAGGAGCGACCAAACCATGGCTGGGTTCTGCTGCCGTTAGGTACCACAGATTAATCAGTAACAACGCTGGGATTATCCGGCGAGAAGCAAACCTGCCTCCAATGGTAGGATGCTTAAAACGATCGACATCCCGTCTCAATCGGCTGATCTGTAATGCCAAACACGGCGGCAACCTGCAGAACGCAACCGCGAAAGGAGCGTGAGTGGCACCGTACTCCGGATCAGACAATGGTCAGAGGAGCCAAGAAGGGCATCGATGGAGGCCTGATATCCGTCCGGATGAGAGGTCAGCACAAGGTCCAACACATCTGGAATCCGCGTAGGCGAGGTAATCAGTTGTATCAGACCACATACCAAAGCAATGTCATAAACAGATCTACCCACGCATGATTGGTTAAACAAGCTACCCACGCATGATTGGTTAAACAAGAACCAAGCCATTCAGCGTGGTGGGCGTTAAAATCACCAAGAATCATGAACTCTGCTGATGGGACCTATTATAGCACTGAGTCTGCAGCCGTTTGGACGTGGTCGATGAGTCGGTCTGTGTCGACAATGCCGCTATGGAACCTGTAGAGTCTGTCTTCGCTGTCTACGCGCAGCCATAAGATGGACAAGTCTGTACCTTCAAGGCTGCCGAGGCGTCTAAAACAGATTTCCTCTCTGACGTGCACGCAAACTCTAGTCCAGGGCACAAAGGAGTGTTCTAATTTGTCCCCGCTTAGGAGAGATACGAAGTATCAGCCGGAGAGGATACCTGTTTCTAGGTTAGAAAGAGCAAGGCCGGCTTCGGCGCGGCACGGTGTTAAGGTTTGAATGAAGTCCCCTGATATTGCAGAAAATCACGGATAGCGTCGGAGGGGCTGCCTTTGATTTATTGCTCCGTTTGCTCCGAGCAGGTCCAGTTTTATAGTATGGGTGTCCAAACACAAAACTTTTGTTTTTTCTCCCTCAGTGATTTGTATTATCTTTAACTTTTATAACATTCGAATTCCTTTTTCAGATTATTGTGTTTGTTGTTTTTAAGACGAATGATTGTTAAAAATGGGACACAATATATAAAGCACATCGAAATAGAAATAAGTACTTGCTTTTAAACTATTTTGGAATTCTTATGTTATTGTATTATATATAATTACTTTTCTTTTTATACTTGTATTTTATTAGTAATCTAAGCTATTTTGTACCTGATTTTAGAGTACCTACATATTCCTTTGTAATTGTTAAATAATTCGTCACGGTGTGTTGGTAAGTTGCATACGAGAGGTAGGTCGTTCGTAATTTGATTTAGATTTGCTCAGTAATTTATTGAGAAATATGTTTTTTTTTTATCATTATGAATGTAATTTTTTGTATATATACCCCTTTGAAAAAGGAAATACTGTTTGATAATTATCACCCTACATTACAAACATTTGTATTCTTGTGGAAATAACGTAATAAACATTATTGTCAATAACTAGTGTTAATGTTTTTACATTTTCCTAGCTTTCCTTAATACGCTATTTCTATTAACATTTGTTTAAGAATTAAAATACATAGTTAAATTTGCTTTTTTATAGAATAAGGGTGACGAACGAGCACACAGTCCACCTGATCGTAAATGAATGCTGGGGCTCACAGACATATATGTACATCTGTTGATTAAGAAACAAAATGCTAATGCGTTGTCACCCCTGAGGACTAAGATGGAATGCCTCGTTTCTAGTAAAAAAGGTCTCCGGTTCTCTGAACTCACCATGCGAAACACAGCAGCAATACGCTGCTGTTACACACTGGTATTCTGTAAGAGTGTGATCCTACCCTGGTCGATACCACAACCATGATATAGCTGTAACGTGCTTAAGCTTTAGTTATGA